TTACTACCCCAGTGTGTTGGCTCTGTCCTCCGTCTGTTCCCACCATCAGGGCCTACTAGAATCTTCTAGAATCCCCTGCTTATGGGTGGGGTCGATAGCACTCCAGCTCCCGAGTAGGGTCTTGCTGGCTTAGGCCAAGCAAGGCATCCAAGCTCTCCAGTCTCAGAATTTGACCACTACTTCAGTAAGAACAGTGATATGCCAGGAGAAGTCTACAGGGCTTTTCTGGGAGAGAAGCTGCTTCTCACTTCTGCAGGAGGGCTGGAAGAGATACTCTGCTTTTCCCTGGACAGGTGTTGAGGAATGTGAGAGCTGGAAGTGCAGCAGTTGCAACAAAGGGGTTCCTTTGGAGGATGAAGTCAACTACAGAGAAGGGCAGAGCCCAGAGTTTCATGAAGCAGTCGTGGTGTCATTAGTTACTACTGCGTGTGTAACAAATTACCCAGCTTAACAGCTTAAAACAACAGTTTTATCTCACACCGTTGAGGTTGGGAATTGAAAGAGGCCTAGCATGGGTGTTCTGACTCAGGGTTCAATGAGTTTACAGTAAGATGTTGGTTAGGGTTGCAGCCATCAGATGGTTTGACTGGGGCTGGCGGGTCCACTTCCAAGATGGCACCTCATGTGCTATGGCAGGAGCCTCAGGTGTCTCACCAAGTTGGCTCGCCACAGCAACTGCCTACCCCCAGAGTGATGATGATGAGAGAGGGAAGGAAGCCATAGCGCCTTTAAAACCTAGTTTCTTGGCCGGGTGCGGTGGCTCACGCCACGCCTGTAATCCTAGCACTCTGGGAGGCCGAGGCAGGAGGATCCCTTGAGCTCAGGAGTTCAAGAGCAGCCTGAGCAAGAGCGAGACCCCGTCTCTACTATAAATAGAAAGAAATTAATTGGACAACTAAAAATATATAGAAAAAGTTGCCGGCATGGTGGCGCATGCTGTAGTCCCAGCTATCAGGAGGCTGAGGCAGAGAGGATCACTTGAGCCCAGGAGTTTGAGGTTGCTGTGAGCTAGGCTGACACCAAGGCACTCTAGCCCGGGCAACAGAGGAGATCTCTAACTCAAAAAAC